GAACATTGGAAGCATTGGCTCTCTTCGCACCAACGGCCCTACATTTCTTTTTAATTTTCGTGCACTCGATGACTCGTTAGTTTTCCAAAGTAGTATAATTCTGAGAATCCTACTTTTTTTGGGCCCTAAACCTTTTCTGTAACTGATAATATAATTATAGTAGTAATAGCTAATAATATAATATGGAAGTAATTGTAGAAGGATGAATGTAGAATTTCGAAATCTGTCATTCATTTTCCTGTACCCTTGATTTTGATCGTTTTGGCTGGTTATGTTTCTGAAAGATAAGTAATTCTGTGCATCTCGAAATCGCGTTATCACAGAGAATCGTGACCCTTTAAAGAAGAAGATATAAGTCGATGCGCAGCTGGTTCGAATGAAAGATTGAGGACCTTGCGGACGGTGGCACAATGGGACACGTAGGACCACGAAGTAAAGGGTTGCGAGGAGACGAGAGTCTTCCGGGAAGCAATGAAAGAGCCTCGATCCTCGATGGTCAGGTGTGCCGGTCGCTGGGGGACCAGTTTTGTACTCCGGGTCGACGTGGCCTATGGCTTTTTTGCCCAGCTCTTTGTGCTACGTTCGCCATTGAGTTCGAAATTTGCGATAAGACATCCTCAAACGTGGCAAATCTGCATACACGAACGTCGTCGATAAAGATTTATCATGGTAATTCACGGAATACAAAGTTCTATGAACGTATTTGTATAGCATCGCTATCAAAATGTCATACGTTGAATAGTTATTATCTTGCAATAGCGTAACATTTTGAAATATGGAAATCGGTGAGTATTTCACAAGATAAATTACTACCTCCTCACGTAATCAAAATGTTCTCTTCCACTCCATTACCCACGGCAAACATGATCAACAACAATAGCAGTGAAAGTACCGAGACCATCCAGAAATAATCTGAAAGGGAAGTCGTTGACCTGCGGCTCGTCCAGAAGGCGGCGGAGAAATTTTCTTGGGGGAAGGTCAGCCCCAAGAGCGACCCCGTTCCCTTTGTCGACGACGACGCTCCTTTCGGTTCCTCCACATCCACGCTCAAAACCTTGCGACGTTACGACCTTTTGTCGTGGCCGCGCTTCGCGTTACACCGGCCGCTCGCTTTTCTTCGAGCCGAGACTCTTTGCACGCCATATTCCAGGCTATATACACCGGCGTGGAATAATGGGACCTCTTACCCGGGAGCGTACGCGCAGCCCGGCGCAGCGCGGCACGGCGCGGCACCGTGGCGCACCTGTTCGATCGGACCAGTCGCCATAAAAGCCCAGGGGCCAAGGTAGCTTTTGCTTCCACACTTTCTTGCCCGTTCGCGTATACGCACAAGCGCGTGTACCAAGGGCCGTACTTGAAAGTAACGACCACCTGTCCGGCCGAACGAGAAATTTCCTGTCGAAACGGGCCCCGTCATCCGACGAACATTCGCTGCGGCCAGATTTCTACCGGAACGAACTTCGCGCTGATTACATTCACTTGGTAGGATTACATTTAACCCTTTGCTTTTACCTTAATCCCTACGGTTGAAGCAAACCGTGCTGTAATAAATATTTATATTATGTACTGTACTGTTAAATAATTATATTATATTTATGTACTGTAATAAATATTTATGTTTCCTTAATGTTTTACTTCCTTTATGTTTTAAATATTGATTTATGAATAAACAATTTACAATCATAAATATTGTGCTTAAGAATGTATCACAAAGAACAAGCTCTCTGTTAACGTCTTTGGAATTCGTTAGTTCTATTAGACATCTAATTAAGAAGATGAGCATCAACTTTTATGATATAATTAATTTTATTCATCTCCTGTTCGGCTTGTTTTATGCCCGCCATGAATTATATGCCCATCGAAATTTCTAAGAGAGTTCTAAATGTTCTACTGGGAACTAACATCATTTCACAATTAGCACATAGATGCGTAGCGTGTAAATACGGATGTGAAATATATGAAAAACAAAAAACCGTGTAGAAAAATCCAATACGCACCTTAAAAGAACCGTTACCTATTATTATATTCTACATCGAATTTAGTCCTAATAAATTCCTAATAGATGTCAAATCAAACGAACCGTAATATTGCTATATACGACTACATGCCATCTATCAAAATTCTCACTTTGCTACGAAACAAGCACACTTCCGCCCACTTCTGACTTTCACCGCCGATTTCGGCGCGTTGGTGAATTTCGATCAAACGATTTCAATTCCGCTTAGAAATCGACGAATTAGGAAAGATGATCATCCCAATGCTATAATGGAGTAGCTCACATTGGTCGATTTCATGTGACAACCAGTAAGGGCAGAACTAAACGGTCGTTTAACGAGAAATGGTATCCAAATATTTAACGAGGCGGCACAGTGTGACTGGGGGAATCAGAAATGCATTCTGTGACTTAGAACATCCATATGGCCCGGTCTGTCGAACAAAAAGCTCGAATCCGTGGCGAGGGCAACGCGGTGCGGCTGCGTAGCACCGATTCAATTGCTGGTACGTGGCAAAAGCGCGTGGGATTTAATACGCCGTGCAGGTAGCACGTTGCTGGTCAATGAATTGAACGCGTTTCGAACACGCGTTCGCCTCGCCATATGTTGTTTGCTTCGCTAAAAGACCTTTGTACGCTGACGCGTATGAATGAACGCTGTGAATAAGCTGGAAGAAGAGGCTGATAGCTCGTGCCACTCTCATGAAAACGCTTCCCGCATCTAAAGAGTGATCCAAACGAACGTGTATCTTCATAAAAATGAAATTCTGTCAGCTTAATTAGTTTCGAGTTAAATAATATATTAGCTAATACGTTATGAGAAAGATTTTGTAAGAAAATTTTATAAGAATCAACAAGTTTTGTTTTATAATTATTGTAAATATATAAATATGTTAGACATAGAAAACTATAAAGGGCTCTGGATATGTGGAAACTGTGAAGGAGAATAATCACTCGCAATTAGGTTCACGAACGTTCGAAAACGGGGGTTCTGAGGTGGGACGCTTTATTACGTGGCTCTCTACCTGGGGAATGGCTTCATCCTTGGAGTGGACGTTGCTCGCCGGGCCGTTCGAGTTCCTAATCTCTCCGGGCTGGCTCTTGCCCTATCGCCGCTTTTTCGCAAGTCGTGAAAATGAAAATGAATGAAATGAATTTTCATTAATCGATGAGAACGAAGGCGAACGCGTTTCGTTCATTATAAACTGTATGTTTCTTTGGGAATGAGACTGTGACGTCTTCAACGTTTGTCCTTGTCGAGCGATCCAACGATCCTCGTAACATCCTTTGATTAGGAATCCGTTGGTTTGATCTAAGAGTCGAATCGTTTATCTCTATGTATCTTCCTTTTGTGATCCGTCCCGTGCCGTTGTCTGTTACATACTCGCGACCAGCCGCGATTGCTACCCAATTTGTCTAATCATTTGCAACGCGGTATTAACGGTTCGATGCTCTCTCTTTTGTATGTATTCTCTCTTTTCACGCAACGCTGTTTCAGACTCGTTGCATATTGCGCGAATTCCTGTGTCATCTTTGTTTGCCACGGTTTTCACTATTCGATGAATTGCTCAATGGTTTCGACTTGCTGTTATCGCTTTTTCTACCGCGTAAGAAATTAATTCGCTAATTCGAGACCGAGGAACGCACTCAAACTTCGATAAAATCTCTGACTTCTATCAAATGCCAATCATAAAATTACTTTTATCATTGCAATTACTGCGGAACGATTAGAAACCCCATTTCGAAGAAATATCGACCTCAAGAAAGCAAGAAGTCGAGTGTATCACATGTTGAACGCCAGAAAACCATCGGTCACGCAAAGTGAATAGATTTATGTCATAAACGTGGTAAATCTGTCGCCTGAAGTGTAATTGCTTTAAACTGTTAGCTATATACCAACGCATCGGATATATTTAAAACATGGCCAGTTCGGATCTCGCTTCGAGTCGAATCGATTCGTCTCGAAACCCGGGGGCTGGTCGGCAACAATTATTTTTATCGGTGCCATGCAGCTCCTTCGACCGATGCTAGCGATCGATCGAGGTTCGATCTTACGGATGGAGGAGATAAAACGGGCTCGCGTGCTCGTCGTTTGTCCAAAGACAAAGCGCGTTATTATGCGCGTCGACGAAAGTTAATGCGTTGTTCTGCGAACCAGTACCGATAACGAGCTCGTTGCGATACTCGAGGTGTCCAGAGAGATTGCATCTTAGCTGCCTCTGCTTCTGCGTTTCAATGGTACTGGATTTATATTTTGGACCGATTGATTCTTTATCGAGCAACTCAAATGACTCTTCATTAATTCTCCTTTTCTCTTAGTCACGTGATTTATAAATGTGCTACAATTAACGGAAGAGTCCGTTTGACTTAATTTCAAAGAACGATTTTTTACATTTTTTAAGATTCTTTTTCAAATTTCGTAACAACTAAGTCTTGATATTTAAACCAGATTCTAGAATAAAGTCAAACACTAGAATTATGAGTTCTAATCAGGAAAGGATGGAAATGCTTGGTATTGGTGCGAGGTTTGGTAAAGATTCGTAGACAAATGTAAGGTTTAGAATTCAAGTAATTTATTTCGTATAAAATATCTCTATATATATAGGTGATATCTGTATCTCAAATAGTAGTTTACTTTCTCTTTACAAAAACTAGAAAGAGTGGTACTCGCCCTGAGCCGTTCGTCTCTAATTCTCTTTTTTATTTCTGATCTCTTTACAATGATATACTTTAAAAGAAAACTGTCGAACGACGGCTGGATTAGAATAATATAAAATCTCTTTTCCGAGTAACTTTCCTACGAGGAACACCCAAAGAGCAGTCGGAGCAATTTAACCTCGCAGCGAGCCTCTCGTTCTTTTTCCTCTCGCACAATTTATATAGATATAATACATAACATATTGTACAATGACTAGTTTCTTCGAGTAACTTACAGTGATTTACATAAAAAACCGCAAAGAAAAAAGTACCAAAAAAAAAAACGAAAAGACAAATGAAATATAAAATATTAAGCTCTCTCACTCTCTCTCTCTCTCTCTCTCTCATGGTACGCTCCGTATTCTCTCTCACACACACACTCTCTCAAATTAGTCCCGAGTTTTCATCGAAATGGACAAGAAATGAAAACAGGAAGAACACTCAGGCACCAGACAACTTTAAATACTTTACTTCCGTCTCTCATTCCACTCAACGAATTGCGACGAATTCTAATACTTCTTTTTCGCGCGTGCCCTCAACTCACCGTTCATTTACAAGACTTGACGTACGGATCTCGGGAATGGCACTTTGGTGCACGTTATACGATCATTCAAACGATACGCGGGCTCCTCGATAATTCTCCCCCTTCTGTTCGATCGTGGAATTATTCGTCGCGCTCGAAACGGGAAGCAATTAAAAAAAAAGGAAAAGGAAAAAACGAAAATGGCACGACAGCTTCACGGGTCCGCGTCAAGCGGTTTCATCGACTCGTCTTCTAAATCTGTGAAAAATTTCATCGACTCCTCGAAGGGCGCGGAACGTATCTTTGTCTCAACCGTCAATTCTCGTCACACACGCACACGTCGATACTATTTACAGCGGGACTAAAAGGACTCAAGTAGAAAAAAACGTAAGAGGTGCACAACCATGTTTTAGAAAAAAAGAAAAACTCCGTCCCTAATTCTCTCCATGACCCTTCGAGAGAACGCGTCCGAATAGGAGTTCAGTTTTCCGACAATTGCTGTTGTATCAATGATCTCGCATCGAAATTCACGCCGCGAAACATGAATTTCGGTCGAGAGCCAGGTACTTCGATGCGTCTGTCTCATAGTCGGTCAGTCTAGTTGCTTCGTCGGGAAATTGAACCCGTTAAAATTTCCCCAGTCGTACTACTTATCGATATTAGTTTCATTTTGTACTCCGATTAACGCGTAAGGCACTTCGTCGATCGAACCGTTTAATAAAGTACTATTAAGTAAAAGGAACGTGTCGAGGGAAAGCGAAGATTCCCCTTCGGCGATCACACCGTTTCTCCGGTAGAACGATCTCCTTAACATCCGTAACCCATCGGGACTGCCACGCCGGGGCAGCCACCCTCCTGATGCTTCGTCAGCAGAGACATTCTGCTGAAGGTCTTGCTGCACGAGGTGCACGAGTACTTCTTCACGTCACTGTGCGTCTGAAGGTGCGCCCTCAGATTACTCCTATCCGCGAATGCACGATTGCAGTGCTGACAGCTGAACGGTTTCTCACCGGTGTGCGTCCTGATGTGTCCTTGAAGCAGCCATGGCCTGGAGAACGCCTTGCCGCAGAGATGACATTTGCACGGAAGGGTGTGCGTTCTGATGTGCATCTTCAGAGCGCCCAGACTGACGTAAACCTTCTCGCAGTATTTGCACGAGAACGATTTCTTCGCTTGGCCCTCGGCCGCGGGACAGTGGAATTGTTGATGTTTCGACAGGCCGGAATACGTCGAGTACGACTTGCCACAATCAGGACACTGACACCTTGGCGGCGTCCTCGACGAAGAGGACCACGAAGATGACGATGATGAGGACAATGACACAGTTGAACCGTTCGTTGTTCCAGTCTTCTCGATTTTCGGATTGACGATCGTCGATCCGGCCGATGTGCTACCGGCTGACGATCTTCCGCTGTCGCTTCCGGGCGAGGAGAGATCCTCTGGTGTTACTGGTGGCGGTGATCTGAGCGATCCGGAGCCCAGGGAACTGGTCGGTGATAAACCGCAGTGGTCCGGACTGGCCCAGTGTGCGTAACTCCTGGCAATCGGTCTCTGGATCGTTGGACAGGTCAGCGCTGCGTGTGGCGGCGGAGAGACCGATGGATGATGCTCCGGGGAAGAGTGCGGATACGCCGGCATCGGATAGGACGGATACAATTCAGCTCCCGCTTGGTGATAACGGTGATAAGCCGCGGGATATGGCAAGTAGTGTGGCGGGTAAAGCGGAGGTGTTCGCGTCCATGCCGGTGACGCGTAATGTGCCAAAGGTTCAATCGGTGTGTTCAGGTTCAACGGTTCCAAAGGTGCTTTCGTCGCCATGAAGTGCAACGGCGCCGACGCAGCCGTCACAGCCGCCGTCGACGACGAATTGTCGTGCTGAATCACTTCCACTCGCGCTTTCTTCGCCACGGGATGAATCGGCGCGATACCCACGGGCGGTGTGATCGCTTTTGTCGGATAATGATGGTGATGGTGTATATGATGCACTGGATGGACGTGGTGCATCATCGGCGAACTGGCCTGCACCGCTGGCGGAGGCGATTGGGAGACTTTGACGACCGGTGAGGGAGACCTGGACGCGTACTGCTGCGACTCGTGTTGGTGACGTTCCGCTGTTTTGCTGAGATCCTCGGGCTTCGTGCTGAGGTTCTCCGGCTCTGGGATATCGTCCAACACGACATCGATTATTTCTTCTGAAAAAAGAAAGGAAAACTTCATTTTAAATACGTTGTCATTACCGCGATTCTAAATTTAGTCGAATTTTGAATGTACACTTGGAACAATTGAAGTTATCACAGGAAATTATTTAGAATAATCGAAATTCACCTTTAATCACTTCCGGAGATTCTTCTGTCGGCAAGACATGGACTGGCCGCTTTTTGAGCGGGCAGTGGCTGTAGCTGTTGTTCTTCTTGACGAAGCTTCTCGGCACTTCTTCGACAAGCATCTTGGTCGATTTTCTGTTAACTTGTTCGACGATGGAAAAATGTTTGTCGGTACTTCGCAGGCACTGGACACCGCGAAGCCGCAATACAGCAGTATTAATCCAATTGTTCCGTATTGCTCGCACTGATCACACAAATTAACTATCAATATAATCCTGATAAACGTAGTGAGTCACTGCACTGCATCACACGCGTAGACAAAACAGTCCTCTTCGTTTGTTCTCGTACGCCGGTGAAATTCACTTTCTCGCACTGGAACGACTTCGAATAAATCAGTCCTTGCGGTTCGCTCGTCGGAACTGAACTGATTGCGACTCGAGTGGCACTGGAGTTAAACGTATAGAAACAGAGGTGGTAACGGAAAAAAGCAAGAAAGAAAAAGAGGAAAGGAGCGAACGACTGGCGTATTGAATCTCGGATGTACTGTTTGAAGGAACGTGTAGAATCTCAGGGTAAAAACGATTCGGCTGCAAGCCGGTCTCTGACTGGCAGAGGGGTGCGTCGGGGCCTTTTATAACACGTCGCCCCACCAGCTAGGTGCAGGTGGCCCGCACGTGCTGCCCGACCAATGCAGGCCCGAGGGCCCCGCGCTAACCACCAATAGGGGACGGCCGGTCGCGGGCCATCGTCCAATCGCAGCCAAAGCATCTGTTCCGCCGGCTCACGTTAGTCCCCTCTCTTCTCGAATGCAACAACAGGAGGTGCAGGATGTTCGTAAGTGCGACGCGATTATCCTGCGCTCCTCTCCTGTTGCTCTCTCTCCCACCCTTCACCTTTTTCTTCCCCCTTTTTTTCCGAACACCGTCTCTCTCCACCTTTGGGACCTTTGCCACCGCGCAGTGCGTCCCTGTTTATCTCACTCTTTCGCACGACGTTCGCGCTCTATTACGTCGCGTTGTTGCGCGAAGCAGATGCTGAGACCCCTCCGTGAAACTCACCTTCCCTCCCCTCCGCGCGAAGAGTTACCAGCCCTTACCGTTTTAAGACCTGGCCCAACGACCCGTCACCTTTGCGCCGTCGCCGGTGCACATGCACCACCGATTCAACTTAAACATGTTTCCTTCTCTTTCTCGTACTCCACGCGTGTACACGAAGAGGTATATATGTACACACGTATATGTAATACATTCGTATCCTTGCCCCCTGTCCCGGCTGGTTTCACATTTTTCTATTCGAATTTCCGTTCGGCCTACCTGAATCTTTTCGTCTCGTTCTGCCTTAACTTCCTCCCGTGAAGTTGCTCCCTAAACGCGCGCGCATTTCTCTACATGTAAAAGTGCACGATCTCAAGTGTCGCACTGGTGGCCGCCGCGCCGTACCGTTTCTTCCTTTTTTTTTTTACACGTCAGCCGCCTTTTCATCGGGGTGCATCAACGATGAACGACCGCGTCCGTATTAGTATACTTATACACTGCAATCCGCCTGGTTCCCCTTTCTGAATTTCACCCCTCGTTCCTCCCCGCCGCAGCGCCAGTTTCGAACGTAACGGTCGTGTCGCGTGCCACAGCATCGCCCACGCGTGCTGGAACCCGCACACACATGCACGCGTGTACGCTGCACGGGGGACCGGAGCCGATTGTGCGCGCCGAACACCCCTCGCCACCCTAGAGCAGGATCCACGGAGGTCGGCTGGCATTTTTGCGCCCAAGAGAGGGAGGATTCTGCCTGCTCCATTAATGACCCAGCCACGTGACCCATGTCGAGATCATCGACGCGATAGCGGTTTCGTGATTTCTTGTAAGTGGAACAAAAGTACAACGAACGTTCCTCGCGTATCGTTCCCTAAAGTCAAGACGAATGATCGTGTCGAAGAACCCATCTCGTAAATTTTAAGCTATTCCAGTTAATTTCGCATCACTGAATATATTAGGTCGTCTCGGTATTAATTAATAGAGTAAGAAATGGCAACAGTTGGAATAGGAGCACATGTTGTCCGTACCTCTGTATAATCTCCTAATAATTAGGTACGAATGTACGAATTGAAATTGCATAGTAAAATTCTAGATCCACTTTCGGTTTCGTTTCGTTTATTATTCGACTCGATGTCGGGCTATTATCCATTGACCGCGGGGGGTGCGTGACGACCGTCGTCGGTTGTAAACGGTATTCCTTCGCAAACGGTAGATAGAAAACTCGGAGTGCTGTTATGTTATACGCGGGGATTTGTTAGTGAATTTATGAGACAAAGAACAGCGGGCGGGCATTCCGTTCGATCAAGTTTTACGTTCCGTTCGGCGATCTGTCACTGGCGCTAAATCAAGTAACCGGAGCGCCACGAAGTATCGGTCGAATCGATTGAAAAACGATCAAAACCGGTATTGATCACGATTTTTGATGAAGGACCCTTGTACTTGTCGTCGTAAACGGCTCCTTCGCTTCAGCACCAATTGGTGTCACGTGTGCTGTATTTCATCCGGTTAATTTAGAGAATATTTCCTTTCCGAATTATTATTAACATTATTTTTCATTAACGTTAAATGCGATTCGGTACATAGACTGCATTTCGCGTTAGATATTAAGCAACAGATCTATGACACTGAAATATGTTCTTGGAATATACGGTAGCAGGATATCTTGCCAGTGTGCGAATTCAGCGGAAATTTGTGGACAGCTGAAGTATCAAGTGTTCAGTCTGATGATGCGAGGAAATGTGAGAAGAGTGGGGAATAATCTTGTTAAACACGTAATTGATTGCCTCCTTCTTTCGAAGCGACTGAATTATCTCACGTTTTATAAGAGCAATACAAATAACGCGATGTGTTATCGGATTGATTTCTCTTTCATCGTTTAGCCGGTGTCAAGTCAAAAGCGAATCGGATAGTTTTGTTTATTTATCGTGATATCAGCAATTGAAACAGATGCGCAAGAAGTTACATACTCCGCACGCTAGGAACACACGTCTTCGAGTGACGTTTATACAACGAACATTAGTCGAAATCGCCCCTTGTGTTCGTCCCTTCGCGTTATAAATTTATTCGATCGTTAAACGCGACCGAGAGATCGATTCTCGCGGCGAACGCCGATAAAACACTGCGACTCCTTCGAAAGCGGGCACAAGACGCAGCTATTCGAGTTCACTCTCGTTTCGCGACTGTTGCTCCATTTTCTCGTTCTGCTCTTTCTTATCTCATCGACACCCACGAACCGGTTGCTCACACGCAATCAGTATCCTTGCACAACAGCTAGGACAATGCGTTCGAAGGGTGGTTCGGAGTTCCTTCGAATAAATGAATAACGGGACAACCTGGAAAAACCCAAGAAGCTTTGACGGGTAGCGTCGCTGTTTGGACAATTACCTGTACTCAACAGGTAGGTATTCACACCAGTTTATGGTCTTAGAAATATGGGACTTCCAGGTAGTAACAGACTGAGGTTACTTCCGACATGGAACGCTGGGAAAATCCAGTCATTAGGGTGCAGAAGGCCTTATTTTAAACGTGGATGGGAAATTCCCAGTCCGTACGGTGTAAATAGCTCTTATATTGTAGGAAAACATGTGCTATGGTTACTTACGTTACTACTCGGGAAATTTAGTTTTAACGACACGAGGAACATAGGCAATTCGGAAACAAATAGTAAATTGCACTCTTCGGATTTCCAGATGCGATTTGCACCTCTCGAAACTGTTTCGATCGGTCGGTTCCCATGGCGCTTGCGATTTCTGCTTGACTAACTCATTGACTTTCAATTTTGCTACCTTGAGCCAACCGTCCAAATGTTTATGCGAATTCGTAACAGCACAGTGGAAAGTAAGCCACCAGGAGGTGTCGAGATAGAAAATTAAATACATAGTACAGTTTCTGAACAGAACTGTTTCTTTATTTTTTGCCCCGATTTTATACCGAAACAACAATTGGTAAATAGTGAAAGTCGATTATGAACGGCAAACGAAAAGTTTATATAATTTTAGGTATAACCATTCGATCGAAAAAGATTAACTAGTCTTTAATCTTGTTTAAATAATTAGACGTGCAAGTTACATATTGAATCATGAAAATCGTGGCAGTTTCCTTGCATCTGTTCTCTCAACTTGTCGTTGATTTCATCGACAACAACGTAGAAACGTCCTGATAGTGGATGTACGGACACCACGGCCGGCGATCAAAGAGACGACAAACAAGAACAGTGGTCATCGAGTTTAACGCGACGCAACAGATACGCTGCGTTGACTCAACACGTACACAAAGAGTCATCAAACCAATAACAATCTCTATCTCGTGCAACAAGAACGACTAGCCCGATTAAGGATGTATTAGCTATACAGTCAATCCCAAAAGTTTATGTACCTTAGAAAAACGCATTTCCTATAATTAAAAAGAAATCAGACGTCGGAAGAACAATGCTAATAATAAATAGCTACGTGCTAAAAAGTGTAGAAGGAAATATCCAATTAAGTATTGACGCTGACGAAAATTTTTGTTTTCAAAATTGCGAAAAATGCTTCAAATAAAAGTTGTTTTCCTTCTAACTTCGATA